TTAGTCTGATGGGCTTCCCTTTGTGGGTAACCCGACCTTTCTCTCTGGCTGCCCTTAACATTTTTTCCTTCATTTCAACTTTGGTGAATCTGACAATTTTGTGTCTTAGAGCTGCTCTTCTCGAGGAGTATCTTTGTGGTGTACTCTGTATTTCCTGAATTTGAATGTTGGCCTGCCTTGCTAGGTTGGGAAAGTTCTCCTGGATAATATCCTGAAGAGTGTTTTCCATCTTGGTTCCATTCTCCCCATCACTTTCAGATACACCAATCAGACGCAGATTTGGTCTTTTCACCTAGTCCCATATTTCTTGGAGGCTTTGTTCATTTCTTTTTACTCTTTTCTCTCTAAACTTCTCTTCTCACTTCCTTTCATTCATTTGATCTTCAATCACTGATACCCTTTCTTCCAGTTGATCAAATCAGCTGCTGAAGCTTGTGCATGCATCATGTAGTTCTCATGCCATGGTTTTCATCTCCATCAGGTCATTTAAGGTCTTCTCTCCGCTGTTTATACTAGTTAGCTATTCTTTCAATCTTTTTTCAAGGTTTTTAGCTTGTTTGCGATGGGTTTGAACATCCTCCTTTAGCTCATAGAAGTTTGTTATTACTGATCATCTGAAGCCTTCTTCTCTCAACTTGTCAAAGTCATTCTCCTTCCAGCTTTGTTCTGTTGCTGGCAAGGAGCTACATTCCTTTGGAGGAGAAGAGGTGCTCTGATTTTTAGAATTTTCAGCTTTTCTTCTCTGGTTTCTCCCCGTCTTTGTGGTTTTATCTACCTTTGGTCTTTGATGATGGTGATGTACAGATAAGGTTTTGGTGTGGATGTCCTTTCTGTTTGTTAGTTTTCCTTCTAACAGTCAGGACCCTCTGCTGAAGGTCTCTTGGAGTTTGCTGGAGGTCCACTCCAGACCCTGTTTGCCTGGGTATCACCAGCAGAGGCTGTAGAACCACAGATATTGCAGAATGGCAAATGTTGCTGCCTGACAGTTCCTCTAGAAGCTTCATCTCAGAGGGGCAGCCGGCTGTATGAGGTCTCAGTCAGCCCCTACTGGGAGGTGCCTCCCAGTTAGGCTACTCGGGGGTCAGGGACCCACTTGAGGAGGCAGTCTGTCCGTTCTCAGATCTCAAAATTCCATGCTGAGAGAACCACTACTCTCTTCAAAGCTGTCAGACAGGGACATTTAAGTGTGCAGAAGTTTCTACTGCCTTTTGTTCAGCTATGCCCTGCCCCCAGAGGTAGAGTCTACAGAGGCAGGCAGGCCTCCTTGAGCTCCGGTGGACTCCACCTTGTTCAAGCTTACCAACTGCTTTGTTTACCTACACAAGCCTCAGCAATAGTGGGCACCGCTCCCCCAGCCTCGCTGCTGCCTTGCAGCTTGATCTCAGACTGCTGTGCTAGCAGTGAGCAAGGCTCCATGGGCATGGGACCCTCCCAGCCAGGTGCGGGATATAATCTCCTGGTGTGCTGTTTGCTAAGACCATTGGAAAAGTGTAGTATTAGGGTAGGAGTGACCCTATTTTCCAGGTGCTGTCTGTTACAGCTTCCCTTGGCTAGGAAAGGGAATTCCCTGACCCCTTGCACTTCCCAGGTGAGGTGATGCCTGGCCCTGCTTTGGCTCCCAGTCCGTGGGCTGCACCCACTGTCCTGCACCCACTGTCCAACAAGCCCCAGTGAGATGAACCCGGTACCTCAGTTGGAAATGCAGAAATCCCCCGTCTTCTGCATCACTCACGCTGGGAGCTGTAGACTGGAGCTGTTCCTGTTTGGCCATCTTGGAACCTCTGCCCTAAACCTCTTTTCTTTATAAATTACCCAGTCTCTCAGGTAGTTCTTCATAGAAATGTGAGATCAGACTAATAGTGTCTTTGTTGTATTTGGGGGTATAGGACTCTCCATTCTGTTAGAGTATTTTTCTGTACTTAGGTTAACAACACATTGTCTTGACTACTGAAGCTTGAAATCGGGTAGCAAAGGTTATCTAGTTTTGCTATTGTTTTTCAAGATTATTTTGCCTTTCTGCATTCTTTGTATTTTTACATAAATGTTAGAACTAGCTTGTCAATTTAGAATTAGCTTATCAAGGAAACTGGCTGATATTTTGACTGGGATTTCATTGAATATAAAGATCAATCTGTGGAGAGATGAATTCTTAAGAGTATCGAATCTATACACTGACTTAACAAAAGCTTTTGATAAAGATATAATTTCTTTTAGTATTTGTCAGTGTGATGAGGTTTAACTTAAGTAAGATTTTCATTAACTTCAACATGTCATGTCATTAGTTTATAATGTGTGCTTCATTATAGTAGTGTCTAAGCTTTGGTGAATATTATATTCCTGAATCCTAGCCTGGCTTTCTTAACTCCATAGAAGATGTGCCAGAACCACAGTGCTAACCTTTTCCTAATAAAATTGCTTTTAGGAGCTCTTGAAACAACATCAAAGTGATACCTTGCAATTAGAAGAGCTGAGAAAAACCAAAGAGGTAAGCTTTTTCTTCCTTTCCTGTGGACTTGGTATGTTACAAATACACCAGTAAAATAACAGGCAGTCAGTATAATGGAATCGATGGTAATTTCTCCAAAACCAATAAGAAATGGAAGACCTAAAGCTGAGTTTACTGGATTCAGTAAGTTAAAAAGAATTTTTGAAATTATCTGTAAAATAAAGCCAGTGCGCCTTTTTAAAGTCTGATTTGAACAAATAGATCAGCAATATACTATGTGATCTTCAATGTTGAATGACTTTCATTTCTAGCAAGGTTCAAACCACAAATGATCTTTCAGTTATAAAACACCAAGTTCTTCCCTTTGAGCTCTGAAAAGTATAAAACTGTCTCCTTTGGAACTCTGTCACCAAGCCCCTCCTTAAACTCTGAGTGTACCTCACACACGATGACTTCCTCAGAGACTCTATTCTGGGACAAATTTATGGCAGTCTGTGGGAGACAACTGAAGAGGAACTGTTCAAATCCACAAGGTGATGTGTGATTCTTCCATCACTGAGAATTTGACTTGGATCCAGAATGGACATGTTTGAGAAAATATTAGTCATTATAAAGGCATTATAAATGAATTCTATCTTAGAGCCCAGGCAGGGCTTCAGCATCATTGAAGGGTAAACAGACTATGGTGTCCTACAAGTTCAAGAAATGGGTTTTGGAGGAAGATATACCCAGTGTATTATAATAACTATTGTAATGAGCTTGTCTACTAATTCTGTCATTTATATCATGTCTGAGTCTGTTTCTCTTCATTGATTTTTCTCCTCATTAATGGTCATACTTCCTTGTTTGCATGCCTGGTTAAGTTTGGCTTGGATGTCAGCCATTGTGGTGTTTACCTTGTTGGGTGCTGAATATTTTTATATTCCTTTAGATAATCTTGAGCTTTGCCCTGGGATGTAGTTAAGTTGCTTGGAAACAGTTTGATCCTTTTGAGCCTTGCTTTTTAAGCTTTGTTGGGCAGAACTAAAGCAGTGTTTAGTGTGGAACTAATTTTCCCCCACTGCTGAGGTAATACCCTCTGAGTACTCGACACCACACCCTCTGTATGAGAAGGATTTTCTACTCTGCCTGGTGGGACCATGAACTATTCCCAGCCCGGTGTTGGCTCTGGGGATTGTTCTACCTGCTCCTTGCTGGTGGTTCCTTCCTCTAACCACATCTCTTTCTATTTCTTCCCTCCATCACTCCACCCCAGAGGCACTTGCCTCCTTGCTGTTTCCTTAACAGGCCAGGATGCTCCTACCTTGGGGGCTTTGATATTCTCTCTTCCTGAAAAGCTCTTTCCCAGATATCCACATGACTTCCTTCCTTTCCTCCTCCTGGTCTTTATTCAAATGCCACCATCTCAGATGCCACCCTATTTAAGGGCTCCGCTCCCTGCCCCAACACTTGCTTTTCTCTAAATGGGATGCCACTGGAGATTTTTGAGGAGGAGAGTATTATTTGGGGAAACAACTGTGGCAGCAATGTGAAGGAGAATCTGAAGAATCAAAATGACAGGAGGCAGAACCTGTTAGAAGGGTCATCTCCCATTTACACCTCAACCTGACTTCTGCTCCCATCCCAGCCATGGAAACTGCTCTTGTTAAAATCACAAGTAACTTCTGAGTTTCCAAATCCAAAGAATGCTTCACCTCACTTGACATGAGCAGTATCAGGTTCAATTGATCACTCTCTCCTTGCAACATTCACCTCTCTTAACTTTCATGGGCTTCTGGCGTTTCCTTCACCTCATTGGTCACACCTTCTCAATCTTCTTTACTAGAACTAGAACTCTGCTTAAAACCCTTCAATGGCACCCCATTGTTCTCCCACCTAATTTCTAAGTCCTGGAGTATTTGGAGGCTGGTTCCCAGGCCCCCTTCTCTTCTTTATCTCCTGTTTTTCCTTTGGAGAGCTCATCTGTTCACACAGATGTAAAAGCCATCTCTGTGCTGATAACTTGGGTTGATACCTCCAGCTTTGCCTCTCTCCTGAGCTCCAGGCTTGTACATCCAACTGCCCATTTGACATTTCAGCATAGGTGACATACAGGCACCTCAAAATTAACATGCCCAGCTCCACACTCTCAATTATCCACCAGAGATTTAGCCCCCAAATTGTCAACTCCCTCAGCTGTTCTAAGCCTAGACCTGAAGTCATCCTTGATTTCTTCTTTCCTTTCAGTCTCCCAAATTCAACCCAGCAGCCTCAGCCAATCCTCTATAACATATTCCACATTCATCCACGTCCCTCCAACTCTGTTGTCACCTTACCCTAGTCCGTTATTTCTCAGCTACATGACCGTAGTATTCTCCTCCTTAGTTCCGTTGCTTTCCCTCTTGCCCCTCCAGTCCATCCCCTGGAGCATAATATAAGCAAGTGAGATACGTGCATTCACTTCTCTGCTTAACACCCTTCAAGGGGTCCCCATTGTTCTTAGGTTACCTTGTCCTCTCAGGTGCCACCAGGCTCCCCTGTATTTCCTCACCATGGCCCTCTATCCTTACTGTCTCTATTCCACCCATATTGGTGTTCCTTTGGGTCCTCAAACACAATGAGCATTTTGCATTCTAAAGACCTTTCCACAGGCTTCTATTCATTCTTTAGTGGAAGTTTGTTTGTGTGTTTGTTTCAAGAAGCTGCTTTTTAGAGCAGTTTTAGGTTTACAGAAAAATTGAGCAGAAAGTACAGAGAGTTCCCATATACTACCCCACCCCACCCCACCACTAGTTTCCTTTATTAGTAGTATCTTACATTGGGGTGCCACATTAGTTGCAGTTGATGAGCACTGTGGATGCATTCTTATTAACTAAAGTCCGTAGTTTACATTAGGGCTCTTTGTGTTGTACATTCTGTGGGTTTTGCCTAATATATCATGTCATGTAGCCACCATTATAGTGTCATACAGAATAGTTTCACTGCTCTAAAAGTGCCCTCTCCCCCACCTATTCATCCCTCCCTTGCCCTCCAAATCCCTAGAAACCACTAATCTTTTTTCTGTCTCTATAGTTTTGCCTTTTCCAGAGTGTTGTATAGTTGCAATTAGTAGTAGGTATTTAATAAAAACTTGCTTAGTGAATGAATAACTGATTGCCATTGTAACCATTCATGTGAGCTCTGGTGAGGCTGAAGAGAAGGATATACATGAGTGAGACAAGGAGGAGGTAGGACTGACAGGGTGTGAGTGGCCATGAGTGATGCAAAAGTAGCTCAAGTTGCTCCCTTGCATTACAGTCCAGGTGCCCTGGAGAAGAAACTAAATAAATAGACATCAGCATGATGTCCTGCAACAAATTCTTCTTATGCAGGTCATGGAGGAAGAATTGCATGCACAAGCCCTCATCCTAGAGTCACTTAACGCAAACCTCTACTATACCCAGGTGGAACTCCAAAAAGAGGTGAGTCCCTGCTAGAGTGGGGATGGGGGTTGGGGGAAGAACCTAGGTCTCTGTCCAGCTCTGCCGTATAGCTCTGCCCTGGATGGCTCTGGGTTGGGGAAGATGGCTTTAAAATATTTGTCTTTCAGAAAGCTATAGTGGGAAATCTGGAGAAAATGCTTCAAACCAAGTGTGCTGAAACTGAAGAAAAGTATAAGTACACCATACAGATCCTGATGGAAGAGAACATTCATCTGAAGTGCGGCTGCTGCTGAAAAAGACATGGCTGAGTTATCTTTAGGAGTGGGAAGGAGTTTGAGTGAGGAATGGGTTAGGAAGATAGACCAAGTGCTCCCTAGTTATGTCAAGGCACAGGCATTTTCAGGAGGGAAGTGTGTCACTGCAGGCCAGCGACACAAAGCCAGATAGTTCACTTGAGGTGGAGTGGAGATGTGTCTATGCTTCTCCCATTCACCTGTGTCCTTGTTTCTGTGCAAAACAACACAGGAAATTTATCTCCCAGTTTCTGAGTTTGCTCAGTTCTATGACTGAGGGTGGTTTTTAAATCCATCTCCCCTGGGAGTCTGATGGTCTTACCATTACATGCAGCTGCTTCTGGTTCCTATGGAAATCAGCTTTGGATCAGAAGGTGTACTGTTACCTGAAGCTGCATCTTAAATCATTAAAATAAATTTTGGTCAATACTTTAATAGAAGAAAGTTATTTATTGCATTGATTTAGTAGAAAATTCCTCATACAGGACTTCAGTCACCTGAACACCATACCTCACTAAATTCAAAACCACTGGAAGTAATGAGTGAGAGACTGCTGTGGTGAAGGAACGAAGGCACATTGCTCTCCCCGCACCCCAAATATCCTATACCCTTTCTAGCTTTTGAGTTGACATTGATACATCTTTCCTTTCTTTTTACAGGCAAAAGGTAATTTCTAAGAATGAAGAAATGTATGAAGAATATTCTGGGAGATTGGCCTCTATTACTGTTTCTAAGGATGATTCTGACACCGTGGAAGATGGTAGCAAGAAAAGACAAGAATCATAAACATAAAGTCGCTCTCCATTGTTGAAGATGGTCGGCACACCATTTCTGTAGGCCCCGGAAACTCCCGGCAGGGTTTTCTTCAGAACATGTGTATAATGAGTTTAGTTCTTGGGTTGCTCTGACTCTATTTTTGCTCTATTCTAAGTGGCTGAAAATGTTTGAATTCTCATCTGAATTTCACAGCTTATCACGGACGCTTCATTGAAAAATGATGCTCTCCGTACTGGGAGCTGAGCTTTCTCTGAGTTTTGTACTATTTTTCTTCCACCTTTATGTATTTCATAGGAAAGAAATAGATTTGAAAGCCTTCTTCCTATTGAACTTTTACTATATTTGGGGCATTTAGGTAGCAAAAAAAGATGATGTGTTGATTTTATCTAAAACCTTTTTCTCTCATACCCATGCCCCCTACTTCCCTACCTCTCAATCATGTTCCCTGACCTATGACTTAGGAAGGGTTTCTGATTATTCTTACCACCTTCTCTGGACCATCACCAGAATTCAGACACCCACAGGGCAGGCAACATAAATAAGTGAAGTGGGCTAGACACAAGGAAAACAATTGCATAAGCACAGTGGTAAGTGACAACTGACAGCAGCCTCAGTAGAGGGGCTTGGGCAGGGCTGGGGCACAACGGGTGGAGAAGAATGACCTGCAGAGCACTGTCCCATCTGAAGAAGGTGCTTCTCAGATCTTTGCCATGCAAAAGCGTGAGGTCAATATTGTCAGATATTATGATTTTTTCAAAGAAGGTATCCTGGTTTTTATGTGATATCTCCTAATTTTTAAACGTTGACAACAAATTTTAAAAATACAACTGTGTGTGCCAATCATGGGAGACTCAAGTAGAACATGTCTGTGGTCCAGATGTTTTCCACCTGTGAGATGTCATTGGCAGAAACCAAAATCAAACACAAAAAAATCTCCAAGGAGCAATAAGATCAAGTTATACTTTATTCTATTAAAAAGTATTTTTGAAAAAAGATACTTAAATTTTAAAGATAACTTAATTCCTAATGATTTAAAATAATCCAAGCAGAGATGAAAGAGCAAATGCAAATGCATAAAAAGACCCACAGCATTGTTAGCAAAAAGCAAATATAGTTAGCCAAGCATATATATATCATGAAAGTAAAAGAAGGCAAAAAGCAAGTTTGGGGATAAATTATGTAAAACTTGTAAAATAATTTGAATTTTTAAAAGATTTCAATGAAATTTTGTTTTATTTAAAAAAAAAAATTTTGGCTGGGTATGGTGGCTCACATCTGTAATCCCAGCACTTTGGGAGGCCAAGGTGGGCAGATCATGAGGTCAGGAGATCGAGACCATCCTGGCTAACATGGTGAAACCCCGTCTCTACTGAAAAATACAAAAAATTAGCCAGGCGTGGTGGTGGGTGCTTGTAGTCCCAGCTACTCAGGAGGCTAAGGCAGGAGAATGGTGTGAACCCGGGAGGCGGAGCTTGCAGTGAGCTGAAATCGCGCCACTGCACTCCACCCTGGGCGACAGAGCGAGACTCTGTCTCAAAAAAAAAAAATTTTTTTTCGAGACGGGGTCTCACTCTGTCGCCCAGGCTGAGACGGGGTCTTACTCTGTCACCCAGGCTGGAGTGCAGTGGTGTGAATATGGCTCACTGCAGCCTTGACCTCTTGGGTTCAAGTAATCCCCCCACCTCAACCTCCCAAAGTGCTGGGATTATAGACATGAGCCACCATAGGTGGCTATTGTCTAATATTTTTTGATGTGGTAGTGTGGAATTTTACTTTAAGAAAGAATTAAAGTTAATAGAATATTAACAGTGGGCTTAATGTTGATAATAATTTGAATCAAAATCCAGATATATTCGTAGCTGGATTTTGCAGGCATCTGGTATTTATTGCCACCAGGTAAAAACATTCCCAAAGCCCTAGGCATGAGCAAAAGGAGACAGTGTTATTGTTGTTAATATCCTATTAACTTTAGCTCTTACAAAAAAGTGCAAAAAAACTAATAAATTAACTATATAGAAAATTAGTAAATAAACATAGTGTTATATATCTAAATAGCACTATCAATCAGAAGGGAAGACAAGTTTTTTTCTTAGTGTGAAAGTTGGCTGTGGCATCTGTTTTCCCATGTTTTTCTTGTCATCCTTGTTGCTTACTTCATAGTTCACTTCAGTCAGGATGGTGAGAATATCATCGCCTCTGAAAGACATCACATAACATTGTGACTATCTGTGGGGAAAAGCAACTGATGAACTGTCTCCTCTGCTGTGCTCAGAGATAGTTCTGTAGTTCTTTCTCTCAAAATATCAGTAATTTGAAACAATAAGTTGCTAAACCAAGACCTACCCCAGCTTTCCTGGTAAATGCGTTGTCTCAGAGCTTAATAACTTACTTTTGGTTTATTCAGGAACTCTTTTGACCGTCAGAAACCTCAGTGTCAGTATTAGAGTTGATTTCTTTCTCTCCTGACCTGTGCATATCTCACTCTTCTCCATGTTACTTGGCTCCCACAGTTGCTTCAATGCCCCCCCAATACTCTCTGCCTCAAATTGACATTGCATCTGTGGATTCATCTTTGATGCAATTAAACTTAAGGCAAGTGAAAGTACAATGTCTCCTGCAGCTACTCCTACCTTCTTCTCACCAGGATCTCTTAGTGTTTTTGTTAGGCAACCTCTTCTTCTACCTCAGAGCTAGCCCTGGAAACCTTGCAGGATTCATGATCTAAGTTACAAAACCTAAGTTAGATTCATGATCTAAGTTGTGGGAAATTCTCACTCTTCATATACTCAAAACATGAAATACAGGGCTAAAAGGAACCTGCTGTTTATTTTCCATAATGCACCAAGAGGTTTTAAGGATGGTTTGCTCTTATAGAACTTTTGACAGAGTTGGAGGATGTTAAACATTGAATTGGGTTACTGCCTTCTTTGGAAGATTTCCAAAACTAGTTGAATTGGCTCACTCATGTTTTAGCCTAAAGACAGAGAGCTGGACTATATGACTTTACCAGTCTTTCCTGCTCTGTGACACCCTGATTGTCCTTTGAGGTGCTGAATAAAGGAATAAAACATCTCAGCTTTTCCATCTATAAACTAAGGATGTTAACACTTGCCACTCTCCCACTTTGTAACTGACCTGGGAAGTGCAGCTATGTGATCCACAGCTAGACATCTAGAGATGAATGGAAACCATTCCCCTTGCACAGTTCTCTGACCTGTTGATGTCATCTAAACCACGTATCACTTTCTAATAGTCTCTGAATGTGAGTAGATAGTAGTGGTGATGGAGTAGGAGGGGAAGGTAGTGTAACACTGAGGTGGGCTGAGTAGGCAAAACTTACCGAGGACATCGTTCTCTCAGGCTCTGGCAAAGTGACTGGATGTACCAGGTTCCCTCTGCAGGGTTTCGGTAGGAAACACAGTTATTCACAGTGGCCATCCCCAGCAGAAAGTCAGCCTCATCTGGGATATATCTCGTTTGAGGTGATGATAAATCCATTTCCAAATAGGGTTGCTCCTCTGAATCAGTCTCAACAGGTATACCTTTCTGGTAGTTATCCCCCTGACAAGCCTGAATAAAAAACACTTTGGGTTTTCCAGCAAGGGAAGGGCACTTCAAACCAGTGAACTGAGATGTCAGCTCATAGATGGGGGCCTCCTGTCCATCAGTGCCATAGATGATGCCCTTGTCTCCATGGGAGAGGATACAGCAGATGAAGCAATCCTTGTTACTGTGGTCCATGAGTTGGTAGGTTTTCAAAATCTTATAGATTTTCTCTACTGTGCAGTCATTGTGGTGCTGGATCTCAAAATGAAGCTCTTCAAAGGTCGCGGTCAAAGCCTCTGAAAAGTGAAATTTGAACAGTCACGTTATACCACAGTAATTCACAGACCAGAGCTGGAGAGCACAGTGGGCATAACATTGATAGATAAGAAATGTCCATCGATGATAGACTGGATTAAGAAAATGTGGCACATATACACCATGGAATACTATGCAGCCATAAAAAAGGATGAGTTCATGTCCTTTGTAGGGACATGGATGAAGCTGGAAACCATCATTCTCAGCAAACTATCACAAGGACAGAAAACCAAACACTGCATGTTCTCACTCATAGGTGGGAATTGAACAATGAGAACACTTGGACACAGGAAGGGGAACATCGCACACCGGGGCCTGTTGTGAGGTTGGGGAGGGGGAAGGGATAGCATTAGGAGATATACCTAATGTAAATGACGAGTTAATGGGTGCTGCACACCAACATGGCACATGTATACATATGTAACAAACCTGCACGTTGTGCACATGTACCCTAGAACTTAAAGTAAAATAATAAATAAATAAATAAAGGATTTGAACCAGAAATTCAAGAGCAAAACCCTCTATGTTTGTAGCTGGATTCTGCAGGCTTCGAATATTTATTGCCACCAGCTAAAAACATTCTCAAACCCTGGGGCAAATGAGAAAGCAGAGAGTTACTGTTGGTCTGTTTTCTCTACTAAACTAGTTTACAAGATGAGTAAGTTATCATTTAGGCTTACTACTGAACCAATTTTTAAAATGACTATATTATTTACATAATCAGGAAAAACAAAACAATTTTTGAATAGAAGATCCAACTTATTTTATCCTAAACCTTCTCAAAATTATTTATGTTTAGCAAAATAAAATACATGAATTAATAAAATAGAACTAAAAGACCTTTTACAATAGGTTATCCCCTCTCTATCCCTCACTATTACCTAGTCACATTCCATGAAGGCAACCACTTTCAGTTTTTAACCACTCTTTTTTCACATTAACCTCCATTTTGTAATGAATTTGGGTACACTGCTAATTGCTCATTTATAAATTTTAGACTTTTGCATTGAGTTCTTATTATGGAGAATAAGCATTTGGTGCTCTTACACAATTATTTAGAATTTTGGTTGAATCCATAGTAATATTTTTATTTTTTTATTTTTATTTTTTTTTTTTAGAAAAGATCTCACTCTGTCACCCAGGCTAGAGTGCAGTGGCACAATCTCAGCTCACTGGAACTTCTGCCTCCCAGGTTCAAGCAATTCTCCTGCCTCAGCCTCCCGAGTAGGTGGGACTACAGGCACGCACCACCATACCCAGCTGATTTTTGTATTTTTAGTAGAGACAGGGTTTCACCGTGTTGGCCAGGCTAGTCACGAACTCCTAGCCTCAAGTGACCCACCCACCATGGCCTCCCAAAGTGCTGGGATTGTAGGCATGAGCCACCACCTCCAGCCCATAGTAATATTTCTATTATTAAGACTATGTAAACATAATGTTCTTTCATTATGTTTC